TTTGTATGAAAGTAATGACCACATTTTACGCACACTTTTTTGCAATGCCCGTGCACATGTTCACAATTGTTTCTAATGTTGCTGTGATTTCGATTTAGGTATTTTACACTTCACAGCTTTGGGATTTTCTGTATAATTTATGAACCTAAAATTCATTGCATTGTACATGTGTAAAAGTTTGTACATTTAAGTATCTCATTGGCTGCATGCTATGTGCTAATGAACGCAACAGTCACATCAAACTTGATCAAAACACACTTTTGTTACATTTTTCCCCTCAAACAGCAGTGACACTGAAGTTCCAGCTCATGACATCGCTGTATTGCTCATGAATATGGAATATTTTAAAGCCTGAAACATCCAAAGACTTGGAATATAGTTCCTAAAATTAAAACCTCAAATCTGTTTAAAAGGCACTTTAAAAAAACTTTTTTACAGTGAACATTTTCAGGGTTACCATATGTTAGTACCATACATGTACATTTCCACACTGAAAAAGTAACAAACAAGCTCATTAAAAGGAAGGGTAGATCATTTGTCATTTGTGCATTTTTTTTTTCATTTGAAGCTAAAAAGTGCTCAAAATCTAAAAACGGGTGCTTAACAACACTAACATGATGAAGTTTTAGCTCTGTGAATGCAGTATTCCAACATATATTCTAGGATCTCAGGTTCAATTCAAAAGTTGCTGAGTCATGTTTTATATTGCGTCCGAATTCAGCCCCAGGGACACATTCTCATTCAGTCAATTGCAGCTACGCGATGTCATGCACTGAACTGACGAATAATAGCAACCTAGTGTGCGTGTGCGTCGTGTCAACGCTTGCGCGCACATATTCATGGATTCACCGAATTTACAAACCAACTACATGAACTAACTTGATGCATCGTTGGAAATGGCTTTCTTTCATTGTTTCCTTCAAAATGACAGCATGCCAGAAAGAATGATTTCACAGGGAGTTTAGTGCCATTAAACCAAAAGCCTTTTAACAATAATTTTGTCAGTTACTTTTTGGATAGCTGCAAATGATCTACTCTACCTTTAAACACGAACAAAAGTTTGATTCAAATAATTAAACTATTTGGGATTTGTTAATTTCTGAACCTTTTACATACATACATTGCATGAATACCAGCTGTTCCCTTTACTGATAGTTGGTTGCAATCTGCTCTGGGCGGGCCCTGCACATTACTGATGTCATGGTGCGTACATGTATTGGCAATTCGCTGAAGTAAAACACATTTCAACTCCAGCATATTGTGTTGTTAATGTTTCTCGATGTCAAATCTACTTAATTGGCATTCCAATGAAGAAGATGTATGAAACGCCTTAAATCTGCTCTACACTTTGAACACAGCAAGTTCAAAAGCAGCACTCACTCTACACACTGCTGCCCTTAAAGACAGCTTGCACTTATCAGGTACCAGTGAACATTGTTCTTGACAACTTTCCAAAGATTAAATCCCTTCTGGTTCTGGATGTGCATACTGCTGCCCTTGTGCTGATGGCTCGGTGCCAGTCAGCCCAGGACATTGTTCCTGAGTACTTGCAAGTGACTGCTGGCTCTCTGCTGGTTCTGGATGTTCACACTGTTCCCCTTGCATGGATAGCTTGCAGTCAGTCAGACTAGAGCATTGTTCCTGATGAGAACTTGCAAGGGCTGGGGTCCCTGCTGGTTCTGCATGTACCTCAACATGCACTTGAACATGCTGCTGACTGTGCATGGATGCCTTGCTGCTGCTTTGCCTGGAACATTGTTCTTGACAGCTGTCCAGTGACTGCTGACTCGCTGTGTGTTGTGCATGCCCTTGGCTTGGTGGCTTGCTGCTGCTTGGCCTGGCAGCATGGTGCTCTTGGTCATTTTCTGCCTGTGGAATCACACAAAGCTCAATCTGCTTCCCTGGCTGCGATGGTCGGCTGGGATTCCGTCTTGGGCAGCAACGACAGCACAGTTTGAGGAATGAGAAAGCCTTGACTACAGCTTCACGAAAGTCAACGTTTGTGGCACTGTAGACCAGGGAATTAATTGAGCTATTGATCAGTTGCAAAATTTCAATGCATATAGTCAGAATATGTATTGTCTCTCCAAGTTCCAGATTGGCAACAATCTGAGCAGTTGAAGTATAATTGATGACACTACACGTGCATGTATTGCCATAATTGCAGCTGCAACAGTCAGTGAGTTCAGAATGAAGAAAACAGCAGTGTTGATGATAACCATGCAGAGGACCTTGCCTGCTTGCTTGGGACGGTTCGGAACAGGGCTGATTGCTTGCATACTTTCCATACTACATAGATGTACAAAGCAAGAGTTGCTATCAAAGAGACAATGTTGATAATGGAAAGAATCCAAAGTAGACTTTATCGAGAGACAGCTTCTGTTAATGGTACGAAAATCAGAATCACACCAACAATAATTGTTGGCACCCAGAGTCCTGCTGATATCTTTGCTGCTCGAGATTTAGAGGCTTTTCTTTGAACGTTATAGGATTGCGCACTGCAGAGAATCTCTCAGCTGCTATGGTAACCACAAAGAAATTAGAAGTAGCGATGAACGTGCATTGGCCACTTGATATTGCATTGTTGACCAACAAGTTGTACTCTGTAGGTGAAGACAGTGCAATATGAAGTAATTCATAAGGTAGAGGGAGTCAGCCACAGCCAGATTGGATAAGTAGATGTTGATGATTGTACGCATGGACTTCACTCGAATGACTGTGAAGAGAAAGACAAAGTTTAAGCAGAGGCCGATTGGTGCAATGATTTCAGCACTTAACCATGTTATTTGTTTAGTTCTTTCTCCACTCATGTAAAAGTTCTCACGATGCTTTTCAACTTCAGTTTTCCACCCAGTTGATGGAGTGGAGCTGTTTTGGTAGCCATCACCCATAGTTCATGCACAATGTAGCATTGAGCTCCGTGAGCCACATGTTGTTCAGATGCAGCAAAGAATGTTCTTCTCTATTTCAAGATCACTCCAGATTTATACTTACAGGGATTGTAAGACCTTGAGCAAAGTGTAATTGAAACAGAAAGTTTCTTGTTCTTTTCCTTCTTTTTCCCCCAACATTTCTGTCCGATTTTAATGCATGTGACTATCTTGTGGTATCAGTTCCTGTAACCAAAGCAGATGCATGTGAGTCAGTTTCACTACTTGCACTGACATGAAATCTGAGAATAAATTTGTTTCAGTTTTAATGATTGGCTCCAGATTAAACATGCGTATTGTGTACATGTAATTGTTTTTTTTATGCAAGTCGTTCCTTCACAAGGCATAAATGCCACTCAATGTGAGGGCTACCGCACAAGAAGAAAAGACAGAAAAAGAAAGAGGATGATAGAAAATGAAGACAATTAAGTTTAGTGTGTATGAGAGATGCATGTTCACATTGCGTTATACAGGGTGATTAAAATAAAAAGTGACCCGCCCTCAAGATTTTTTTTCTTACAAGAATGCGATAATATTGACCCGCTAAATGCTAAGTGAGAATTACAGATTACACACAAGTATTCAAATACAAATGAATTTTATAATTGAAATCAAGAGAATTTTTACTATCAAGTTGTGTGTTTTGAATATGAGAAGCAAATTAAATCTCTTTTTTCTTGAAATATCGATGGTGATTTTTGTATCTTTTCCTTGCAAGTTCTTCGTTCATTCATGGAGGTTGGAAAACAATTGATGTTTTCATTATCCACATTGAAACCTCATTGGGAGATGTATTATCAGTTCGCAACACGGTAATTGATAAGTGGTGGACAGCCAAGTTTTTGATCATTTTATTGAAATAGACATGAATTGGGAATAGAGTTTGCAATTTAAGTGAAATTTTCACAGTTAATGTCAGACATTGTATTCGAGTCACGAAACATCGAATCCCGTCCGAGTCCGAGTCACATTTCTCGAGTCTAAGTCCGAGTCCTGAGTCCTCCAGGTCAAGTCCGAGTCAGAGAGTCACAAAGGTTGAGTCCAAGTCCGAAGTCACGAGTCACCTCTTTGTATCAAAAAACGTACATTTTAGGGAATTCAGAGATTCAGAGTCACCTTTGATATAGTATCGAAATACGTACATTTCAGGTGCTGTAAATTTTCATTTTTCCCACAGCTTTTCTCTAATTTTCTTACAAATGAGGAGTTCATTTGCAAAAACAGTTATAAAGGCAATTCAGACAAAACTGGTATTGGCCTAACTTTTGCATTTAAAGTTCAGGCGTTTCAAATATCTTTTTTTAGACTTCTATATACGTGAAAGGTGGCGATTGAAGTTGGACGTAGTGCCGGTTTCTCCTCTTTTTCTTCCTGCAGAACTTGCATTCTGCACTTGATCTTCCATTGGCATTTCTCTTGAAGTTAAGATATCCAAAATTGACAATTTTTTGAGTGGATGCCATCATGATCTACATACGTTGCAACTTGCATGTAACGTTACCGAAACGGGCAGATCAGCAGACTATTCATATCGCGTTATCGCGATGCGACAGCAATACACGTGTGAACGACAGGACGTCTGACAAGAAAAGTCTGGTACTTGTACCTTACCCTATCACTTGCACCAATGCAGTATTGCGTGTTGATGGCGGGGTACAAGTTTCAGTACATTGATTTCTATAAGTCAATATATCGGTAACCGGCCACGGCCACGCATGCACCACATCGAGCGCCCTGTACATGTATTGCACAGTAAAGAAAACGATCAAATTATATATTGCGCGTGTGCAGTGCGGTAATTTCCGTCGAGTCACAAGTCAGTTCAAGTCCAAGTCCGAGTCCGTAGCCCCGAGTCCGAGTCCGAGTCGTAAGTCAAAGTGACTCGAGTCCCAGTCCGAGTCATTAAAAATGTAACTCGAGTCCGAGTCCGAATCACGAGTCATACAAGTCTGATAAGATGTACTTTATTGGTTTTTTATTAACATAGAACAAGCCATTATTTAAACATTTTTTTTCAAATTCGGTCACTTTCTTTTTGACTCATCTGTAGTTGGTTCAACCGGTCACGTGGGAATAAACTTGATGAATACATCCTGAAAATGGCTTTGGGGATAATGACAGTATATGGATGTGATTGGACGGAGGAGCAGGTAGTTGGTAGTTGGTTTCAATTGGTCATGTTACTGATGATGGAAAGTACATTCACTCAAAACAACTTTAAGCACTAATATTACCTTGTACAAAGGTATATGTAGATGTAGACAACAGCAAAAAAAGGAGGAGATTTTCTTTTCTATCAATCCTTGTTGTCTTTTTCCCAAAATGAATTGTGTTCTTCCCCTGGATGTTGATTTATTTACCCATACAACAATTCTGTACTTCCCTTCTGTTTGATATTCAATTTGATCTGATAAGGAATGAAGTCAAATGGAAGTTTTTTCACAATCACAATTTGATTTCTGTTCATCAGTTGCCTTTTTTTTTCTTTCCTGGGCAAATGTTGGTTGTCATCTGATCAGAGTTTCTTCTTCACTTTCTGGGGTTGTTGTCATTTGAAATCAGTCTCTGCCTTGCCTGACGATCAAGTTGATGTTGTCATATTCTCAGTTTTGTTGATGGAACATCTTTGCAAGACAATTTGCAAGGGCTAACTACTTGGTCTAACTACGTGGTGGCATGGTTTAGTAAAGGTTTGCGGTACCACCATGTAGAAGTCTTTTTTGGAAGATGTGTGGATCTTTTCAGAACCACACATCTTCCCAAAAGAGACTCTGCATGCCTACATGGTGTTACTGCAAACTGCAAACCTTCACTAGAACACTGTCTTCCACAAATGTGACAATTGGGAAGGGGAAAGTGTGTTTGTCCATTTTTGTTTGGGGGGGGGAATATAATCCCCACCCCTTTTCTTCCCCTGACATCCCCCCCCCCCCCCCCCCCCCCCCGCCCCTGATTCTATGTAAATATTTCAATGCTAATCATAATTGTATTGATGATATTTCAATGATAGATATAAAGTGTTTGAGGACCTACGTGGATCTGTTTGGGCCTACACTACGTCCATTCACTGAGCGGATTCGGGATTACCCATCGAGGACTCGAAAAGATAGGAGAGAACAAGGCCAGTTTCTTCGGTAAAATTATCCAGTCAGGTAAGACAAACATCTGTGAAGACTCATTTGCATTGGTCTGCATCTCAATTCTATGTGGATAGTTGTGAAATTCGAAATTGTGAATTAGAAAGTAGGAATCAACTTTATTCATCCATATAATTTAATTGATCTTCTTTTTCATATATTTTTTTTTGTTGCCCTTCCCTGAAGTATTTTACAAACACTGTACACATTGAGTTTTGTCCGAGGGTTTGCAAGAAAAAATCAACAAGCTTACTTCTGGTTGGACACGAACCCCCAACCTTCTGCTTCCTAGTGCAGACGCATTAACCACTCGACCTGAGCTTGCTGTGGCAAGCTGGCCGTTTGGAGTCTGATGAAGCAGTGCTTAACCCAACTTTGTTTGTGTAGGAGGTCATTAGTTTGAGTCCCACCTAAGCCTTCGGACAACACTAAGTGCACAGTGTTTACAAAATATGTCAGCGAAGGGCAAACAAAAATCAAATATAAAAAGGCTAATTTACATCTCATAATTTTTTTTTTCCTGCCCAGGTTCCCATCTGAAGTCCATCCAGATGATCCTTAATAAGACAGCAGACGGTACAGGCATCGACTCCAACACCCTGGCCTTACAGATGAAGGGCCATCCTGAGCTGAGGGACAAGCTTCATGTCGTCACCTCATGGGGCCTTTGCCTGTCTACCCTGGGGTGGTCAACTCAGAATTACCTGGTAGGTACAGTGGACTCTGTGACCAAGTACCAGTGTTGTAGTCGAGTTACCAACGTCGAGTCCGAGTCCGAGTCCAAGTCTCGAGTCACAAGCCTCGAGTCCGAGTCCGAGTCACAAGTCACTTGTTCTTAGTTGTTCACCGAACTAATCGTTTTTAAAAATTATTTTTTAATCCTCCATTCTGTCTTTTAAGTAAATCCCAGTGTATATAGTTGTGGTTGTACATGTTGTTTAGAGCCAAAATGTGTTTTTCTTTTAATTCCCATCCCTAAAAAATCTTCCTCCAACCCTTCCCTCCATGTTTTATCATCCAAACAGTATTCCTCAATGATCCTTTCCCATCCCTACGTTAGGTTTTTACTTTTGATGAAATTACGTGACTCGAGTCGCGAGTCATCGAGTTCGAGGAGTCATGGTCAAGTCCGAGTCATTTTCCAATGTGACTAGAGTCCAACTCAAGTCCGAGTCCTAGACTCGAGTCCTACAACACTGCCCAGTAATCCCTCTTAAGAAAAGGTTTAGGTGGAACTCTTGAACGCATTGTCGCCCACCCACACCTTGTGCTGATGTTAAGATATTTGATGATCATAGTGCAGTGTTCATATAGCACTCTTATACAACACTCTCAGATTGCTCACACTTATTACCCCTGTTCATCAGGCCATGAGAACACTTTCCTGCTATAAGCTCGAGATCAGCCCTATCTGGTCTGCACCCCCCCCCCACATGTACTCAATGGAGGCAATTGTAGTAATGTATCTTGCCCAAGAACACCAGCACCGTGTCCCCTGTCAAGATTGACTCAACATAACATCGTGCATGAGTCAAACACAGGAACCTTTTGACCACAGGACTCTGCATGCTGAATAAAACTCTAATCAAATAACCAACGTATAAACACCGACGTATAAACACTGTATGAGTGTGTTACCTCCTAAGTGAAAGTTGGAAAAAAAACGTTGGCGAGGGGCAAAACCTAACTTGATTTACATAACCCCAACTTAAAATTCCATCTTATGAATAGTTAATGCTATACCTGCTGCTATGTACATCAGATTCGAACCAGCCAACTGATTCCCTTAGCTCGGTGGTTGAGTGGTAAGACATCTGCACTAGAAAGTAGGAGGTCGTGGGTTCGAGTCCCACCCGAGTGATTTTTTTCCAACTTTCACTCGGGAGGTACCACACTGACCGTTTATACCAACCGTTTATACGTCGGTGAAGGCAAAACCTAATTTGATTTACATCACCCAGACGCAAAATTCCATCTTATGAATACTGAATAAAATTAGTGATACACATGTACATACTTTGCGTAAAGATATTTGTTTGTGGAAGAGGAAAGTACCTCAGACAGTCAGACCACCGTTTAAACAGAAGATCTGACCTGACACGTGTACATGAGGACATACAAGGGCCTCATGATTCTGATATTTAGTACGCTTGTAGATATTTAAATAATGTTGAACCCTGCATCATAGGTCGATCTGACAATCTACGCGCTTGCCAGTATCAGACTTTAAACGGCCTGCAAGAACCTGCCGTTTTGAGTCTGCGTTTAGATTAACCACCATTTTGCTCGTCTCATTTTGAATATTCTTTGGTCATTTTTTCCTCATAGGATCTCAAGACATCTATCACCAGGCATCTTCTCAACATGCATCTCGACCCAAATGGCAAGCTCAACTGAACCAATACATGGTGTCCAAATTTGTGCCGGTTACACTGGATCAGTACAAAGGATTGTTAAAATAAACAAACAAATGTTCCAATAAACCAAAAAGGGAAACCGACGATTAGTGCATTATAAAATATATTGCATTATTATAATATAACAATTGTAACAAAATAACGAGACAGTGTTATATTTTTAAAAAAATAATGATTAATTCATTGTTGAAATCAGTACTCTTAAATTGGAACTTGTCATGATGCAATTTTGTGCTCTAAATTAATAATGCAATATACATATTTTATTATGTAAACATGTTTTTTTATATATTTTACTGAAACCACAGAGACTAGTTGTCAATGTACAAGCTATTGTCACATCTTACTGTGTGCAATGAGTTCGTTAGCAGGGCTCAAATTTTGTGTGAAAATCTTGTGGACAACAGTACCTGAAAGTATTATTCACTGGACCAATGTACATTCACAGATAAAATTGAAACACTGTTAACTCAAAGCCATGTGCATCATTTGCAATGACCTGGAGAAGCATTGATTTAATGACAAACTCTGCTCAAAGTCAAGATAGGAGTGGTACCAAATACCCTTTGAAAATATTCCAGCTGAAATTGTTTCGTGTGGATGAAAACTGAGGTGGTGTTGAATGTGAAGAGGGTGTCCACGCACACATTATGCATTAGCAATGGAATCCAGTTACAAGACACCCCAAAAAAGTGAATGTATTTTCTCGGTTTTCTTAAAACTTATACTATCCAATCAGCCTTCAACAGGTTAGTTGTCATGCACCCTGCTTCAGACTTTTAGCAATTTTGTTGCTTCAAACGAAAGTAAAGGCACAAGAAGCAAATAATCATATGTACCTTTTAAGAAAGTTGCAGTCATTAGGATTATACAAGAAGTGTATTTCATTGCTTCTGATGGTAAATGGGAAACATCAAATGTGAACATTTTGAATAGTTGGTCAATGACTCTTGCATGTGTAGGATTAGTCATGATCATGATAATCTGAGACCAGATTTGGACAGCACATGCAATCATGAAAGGCATGTATTCATCTGAGTGCAATGTGTAATTATAAAACATCAAGATGAATTTTATTCCCTTTGTTTTAAGTTGCCAAATCTTCCAAAGAATTTATATACAATTTAGAAGTGTTTTTGTCATTTCGTATAACCTTCGAGAGTGAAATACATTGAACATCAAAACAATGTGTGTTACAGTGAAGTGCAAATTTGCCTTGTTGAGATTATTTATGCAAATGCGATAAGGTTTTCTGTCATGGATGTTGGTATGAACGTAGATGATGTGGATATGATTCACCTACTTTAATGTACATGTAGTTGTGTTTGTCATTTATAATACATGTACACCATATAGTTATTAAACTTATCAGAATTTATTTGCTGTAAAAATTAACAGTCACTTCTTTCATTTTCAAAAAACTATATTTCCAATGGCAAATTATTAAAGTGGATGCGGTGTTTAAAATGAATCAGACTTTCTATATAAATGTTCTAGTTTTCTGGCAACGTGATGTTAGAAATGAACTCTTTTGAACTTTTAATAAAATTGTATTTTCAATGGCAAATTTTATATTAAATACATGTACATGTAGATCTGAGCTAATTTACTTGTTTCAGTCAAATTATTCTGTGTGAAAGATTGACCATTTTTTCCTCTGGCTTATTTCATTGTGTCACGCTTAATTTCTTGGTTACAGAATCCCAATGTTTCCAAGTAGATATCATGGCTAATGGAAAGTACTCAAGAAAAATACTCAAACCCAAATTTAAAATATCTTAAAAATTTAAGTATCTTCCTTTTCTTGTACATATATTCAATGGGGGAGTGCCGATAAAATCCTACAATCGTGCACACTACATTACCTAATAGTGTACAGGGGCGGATCCAGGAATTTTCACAGGGGAGGGGGTTCATCAGCGAAAAATCAGAAAATGTAAACACTTGGCCTCCGTAAAATCAAAAACTGGGGGGGGGTGGGGGCTGGTTCCATATTTCAATAGGGGGCGCTGTTCAAATTCGATGATTAGTAACACTAGATTACAGACTGGTGTACCGTAATTTGAACAGGCGGACATATACCAGTATAATTTTTTAGGAATTTGTATGATATTTTTTTGTTTTTTGACAGAGCTGGGGGGGGGGGGGGGTTGACACCCACCTCTGGATCCGCGCCTGGTGTACAATTCATGGCCCCTGCTCACAACTATTTTGTGAGGGGAAGGGGGGAGGGAGAGACCGTTCGAATGTGACATCACCTTAATTCTAACATTTGCTACCGTCTTTTGTAGGGAATTTCTTTTTTTTTAATGGGGGGGGGTGGTCTCAACAAAAATTTGGGTGCTCCCTGTCCCCCCCCCCCCCCCCCCCCCATTGGTGGAACTGCACTGAGGGTGAGTACCCTCAAATGACTCGGCCCATTTCGGTTCTGTAGGCCACATTTCTTGCGTTTACCACAATTTGGCAAACAATAATGGACTGAGCTGCAGCTC